CACCGCCTTCAGCCCAGGCCATGGTCCTGGGGTCCCGGGATCAAGTCCCACATCAGGCTCCCAGCATGGAGCCTGCTTCTCCTCTGCCTGTGTCTCTGCCTCTCTCTCTCTCTCTCTCTCTATCTCTCATGAATAAATAAATAAAATCTTAAAAAAAATAAAATAAAACCACGACGAGATACCACTATATACCCACTAAAATGGCTACAATAAAAAATATAGATAATTCCAAGTGTTAACAAGAACATAGAGAAACTATAACTCTCCCTCTTGCCATTGCTGGAACACTACTAACTTGGAACACGGTGTGACAGCTTTTCTTTTTTTGACTTTGAACATGAACTTACTTATACGACCCAATGATTCCACTGCTAGATATCTACCCAAAAGAAAGTGGATCACATGTCTACTAAATGTATGCATATGAATATTCATAACATTATTATTCATAATAGCCCCAATCTGGAAACAATCCAAAAGTCTGCCAACTAAAGAATAAAAAAAAAAGTGCTATATATCTTTTCAATAGAATACTATTCAGCACCAAAAATGATCTACTGATACATGGCACAACATGGCTACACCTCAAAAATATAATGCTAAGTGAAAGATGCTGGATGCAAAAGATTTCATTTATATAAAATGTTCAGCAATAGAATTTATAGTGTTAGAAAAGATCAGTAGTTGCTACGGATCAGAATGGAAGTGAGGATTAACAAAGGAACTTTTTGGGATGATGGAAAAAAGTAGATGATGTTCTAAAAGTAGATTGTGATGACAGTGTAAAACTATAAATTTACTAAAAATCATAGAACTGTATCCTTACAATGAGTGAATTGTATGGTATATTAATTATACCTCAATATGGGTGTTAAAACAATAAGAAAAAAGATCTTTCCCATGATATATTTATCTTAAATGTCAGATTGCAGCATTAATGCATGTTCAAAGGGATTTTGTTTGAGGAAGTTAGAAGGGGCCACCAGTGAACAAGAAAATAAGATTCCACTTTGGATGACATAATTAGTAGCAATAGTAGCTATGGACATGGTGATTAATAGTTCCAGCACTATTCAAAATCTTGCTTTCTGCTCACTTTCCCCAAGATGTGGATGTTGGCATGTTTAGCCTTCCCACTTATAATTATCCTCCCTCCAAATTGGAATAAGGATTAACTAATTATAGTGGTGCGTTCAGACATGAGCCATACCAAACACCCTGGTAATGAAGAATTGTCCTATCTGGAAAAATAGTTGCATCTGCTTTGACGTGCAACCCACAGAGTTTCCCTAAACTAGTTTAGCCAGCACAGGTACACTCTGCGCTTCCATTAACTTTACTTTTTTAAGATGCTGCTTTGGATAAGGTAATCCCTTTGCCAAAAACCTACTGAGGCTCTTAGTTATTAGTCCAATATAGAAAGCATCAGTGGTCCATCAAAATGCCAGGATGTAGTGTTAGAAGCCACGGGTTTAAACCTTGTCTCTAATATGAATTAACCATGTTGTTTTAGGTAAGTAACTTATTTTTTTTAGCCTTAGATTATTTATTCTCCAAACTGGAATAATTTTGCCTACTCTTTTATGTAAAAAAAGATAATATACATTTAGTACTTGACCCCACATCTGTGTGTTAAATCTGAATAAAGGCTGTAGCTCTAGTTCCTTTCCCTGCCCCCTCCTCACAATTCCTTAATATGACAATTAAAGCTTTCTAGAGTTAGGCCCTGATATTCCTATTTATCCCCATCTTCTACTGGAAGATTCCCAATACTAACCAATTATCACCATGCAATGACTCTGGCTATATCCTGCCATCTGGGCTGTCTTCTCCCCAACTTTGCATTTAGTATTCCTACTCATCTTTTAAGACTCAGCATAAAGCCTATCTTCTCCCTGATGGTTAGTCTGACCATTACTTTTCCAAATAACTTATGAGATCCTTAATTATATACTTAAAAATATTATTTCTGTCTGACTATGTCTTATTTCCTCAGGTGTAGAATACATTTCTGGAAGTACACCAAGATTTGTTTTATATCCCACAGTGTTCCTCACAAGGCCTAAAGTAGGACAAGGGTCTCAACTTGTTGTTTTGTTTTGTTTTGTTTTTTTTCCTGAGGAGTTTCAAAGAATAATTTGAAAACATTATTCAAGTCCAATTTTTTCATTTTGTAGATGAAAGACTTGTTCCCAGAATGGGGAAGTAACATTCAAGGTCAGATGAGTAATTTGGTATTAGTGTTGAAAATGGAATTCAGGCTTCCTGTGGCAGAGACTTCAGACTGTCCTTCAAAACTGTCCTTCAGTTCTCCTACATATCTAGAGGACTACAGTTTTTAGCTGGAGACATGGTCACCCAAAATGAAGACTTCATGTCTCATCCTTACTTTAGAGAAAGGTGGATATGAGTTCTATGAAATGGAGTAGAAGAGAAAGTGCTATGTAACTGCATCTTCTCCATTCTTCCCCTACTTTCTTTATCCTGCTGCCTAAAACAAAGATCTGATGGTATAATTCCATCCTGGATCCACAATGAATTCATCCTTTCATTCATTCAACAATTCATTTAATAGCCATTCTGTTTGCACCTACATTCTACTTGGCATAAATCTAAGAAGGGGTTGGGGTGGACACAGGAATGAAATGTACAATTCTTGCTCTTAAGATTAAAAGTCACAAGTATTACATGAACTTCTCACTGTCTTAACTCATATCACAATTCATATCTGGCAAACACTCATCTCCTTTCTCTGACAGTCGCATCTCAGATAATCTTACTATTTCCAATAATAAATTGTCGATTAATCTACGTGTGCCTAATATGTTCTATTTGCTTTTCTACATCTCTCCACCATTTTCTTTGACCAGCGTGGCTTAATCTTTACTTCAATGGGCTCTCTTGTCCTCTAGCTTCTGGTTGGGTTGGTCAGTAGGGACCCCGAGAAGGAAATCAGAGGAGAGTAAGAGAATGAGTTCTATGTATTTATTTTTCTCAGTTCCCTCCCTGTGGGGTCATCTCAGGCTAACTTTATTCCTTAAGTGAAGGTCACTGTTCCACTCGAGGTGGCCTACGACACGACTCTCTACTATTGGGTTCTGGTAATCATTCCTTCCCTTTACACCCTTTGGGCTGTTACTAGCCCTGGGGAAATAAACTATACCCTGTGGTTTTCCTACACACTGCCCACACCTTGTAAATAGCCCATTTATTAAGCCTTCCTCAAATTATCCTAATGTGAGGCTGCCATCTGTTCCCTGCTAGCATGCTGACTGATAGACCATGTGTCCCAATTCCCAGTTTGAGATATATAGGCACCAGATACCCATGGCACCCACCAGAAGCACAGTTAGAAAGAGAGTTTAGTGAAGATATTTAGTAAAATCTTATAGAGAATCTCAGGCTATAAGAATACCATCATGACCACTAGATTTTGAGAACAGATTGGACTCTCAGGTACCTGAGCCATATACAGACTTTCTCTATTTCTCTCCTTCTTTGTGTATCCTGGACTAGACTCTGTCTTTTAAGCAGTCTAGTCTTGAAAACTTTTATTTAAAGTGGGACTCCCTTCAAGGTGGAACTCACAGTCACTGGGAAGAATCCACTTTTCCATCAACACATCTCAGAACCTCGAGTACGTATTATCTGCCAATGCCACCAGTATTCTCACTTAGGATCTTTAAAGTAGTCTATATACTGATTTGAGAGGCACAATCCACAATTTTTGAAGAATAAAACATAAAAACAATTTATCACCTGCTTATTCATTACAAGTAGCTGAAGTATCATTGGCCACAGAGAACAATGATAGGCAGAACAATGCACCCCTTTCCAAAATGTCCAAGTCCTAATCCCAGAAAACTGTGAATCTGTTACTTTACATGACAAAAAGGACTTTACCAAAGTGATTAAGTTAAAGTTCTTTAGATGTAGACACTATCCTGGATTATCTGGGTGAGCCCAACACAATTACAAGGATTCTTATAAGTAAAAGAGGGAGGCAAGAAATTCAGTGGTAGAGTGATGCAGCCTGAGAAAGACTTAAGCTATTGCTGGTTTTGAAGGTGGAAGGGAATTACAAACTAAGAAATGCAAACAGCCTCTAGAAGCTGGGAAGAACAGGGAAACAAATTCTCTCCTGGAACCTCCAAAAGGAATGCAGACCTGCTGATATCTTTTTTTTTTTTTAATTTTTATTTACTTATGATAGTCAGAGAGAGAGAGAGAGAGAGAGAGAGGCAGAGACACAGGCAGAGGGAGAAGCAGGCTCCATGCACCGGGAGCCCGACGTGGGATTCGATCCGGGGTCTCCAGGATCGCGCCCTGGGCCAAAGGCAGGCGCCAAACCGCTGCGCCACCCAGGGATCCCAATATCTTGATTTTAGCCCAGTGAAACCAATTTCAGACTTTCTCTAAACTGTAAGATAATACATTCGTTTTGTTGTAAGCCAGCAAGTTCAAGACCATTTGTTAAGCCAGCAATAGGAAACTAATATAGAATAATAGAAGACTGAAATCTCTAGACCTAGAGAACTACACCTGGAAAGGAAGAAGGGTTAGGAACTGATGAATGGCAGAGACAGAGCACATGGTGGGCAGCACAACCAAACTGTACACCACCTGCTAATGTGACTGCAGGCAAGCTGAATTCATTAAAAGACAGAGGTTTTTGTTTTTGTTTTTTTATCTCAGAGGTTTACACTCATAAAATGCTTTCATGCCTTCAACATGCTTGTGACACCTAGTAGGAGCCTCCTTCTTTTCTCACTGGATTTTCTGTATTTTGTGAGAGAGCACCATCAGCTTCAATTCAGAAGGACAGGCATCTGTCTCATATCTTATTCTGTGACTTCCACAGAGGCAAAGAATGGTACAATGAAATTAATTATTAGAAGTTCCAGAGTATATGCAAAGCATCAATATCCATTATTTCCATTCTATAAAAACGCATTGTTAAGCTCCTCCCCCAAGGCTGCCTGGTTCTGACTCGGCCTTACCACACTCTGACCCAGCTGCTCCCGAAAGAAGTAGTCCATGTTTCTCTTTTGCAGGCCGTCAAGGTAATGCTGAAAGCGCGTGTATGTATATGGGTAGCAGTAAGCAAATTGGTAAATATCTTCCTCTCGGTCAAAACAAAATGCAAAGGACATCACATAATTCTTCCTATGGTCTGGGCACCGGTAGTAGTAAACATTTTTAGGTGGCAGCCTTTGCCTGAAAGATACAAACAAAAAAATGTGGACATATTAGACAATCATTCAAGCTTCAAAAGGTAATAAGCAGGAAGAGAAAAACTGTAACATCAAGAACTCCTCCTAGTGTCTGGGAATAACAACCACACCATCTATGATAAAGAAGAGACCAAGAGTTGGCAGTACTTTGTTCAAATTCCAGCCCCATCCTTTACCAGTTGTTTGGACAATGCAAATTTAAAAGATGAACAAGTTTTAGTCATTGTTTACTCTTATTTCGAGCATTTATTATATGCCTAGGCATTGTGCTAGATTCTTGATGTATAATGGTAAATAAGACTGGCATGTGTTTGTTCTCATGGAGCCTCTATTTTGGTGGGGAAGCAGTCAATAAAATATTAAAAATAAATATGCAATATAGTTACAGACTTTAAAAGTACCTTGAGGGCAACTGAAGACTCTGATATTTTACTGAAATAAACAGGGGAGGCTTGCTTTTCCTAGGGAAGTGTATTATAAGGCTTGTATTATAAGGCTAATTCAGGTCATTTTAAAATAAGCTAATATGCATTATAAATATTCAAGGGAGAGGAAAGAATACTCAACATTCATTTAAATTATTATTATTTTTCTACAGAGCATTTCATGACACTAATTTTCCACAGAAGCACTTTGGGAAATACAAATACACTGTGTAGGCAAATTTTGCTAAGTCATCACGCTCATTCTTCAAAAAGGAACTCTGAAAACATATACATGAGAAAAGGCAAAATGTTGTTCCAGTCATAATTCCCAGAACTTCTTTACATTCATCCCCACCATAGGCTCACTGTACCCTCTCATGAAGGTATGAGGAAGGTATGGCATCCAAACCATTCACACTGTTTCCCTGCAGTGAATGCCTCTCATTTCTATGTCTTCAAAATTCTGTTAATCCTACAAAACCCATCGCAAACTGTGCCTTTTCTATGATCAACCATTGACAATTCCAGGCCTGTTCAGCTCCCACATTTTGCAGTAATTCTTGATTCTTTATTGATGGCTTCCTAAGTCTCATCCACTAGGATCAGTTTGGAAACTCCTTAGAGGCAGGTATGTTTTCTTTTCTTTCTTTTTTTAAATATTTTATTTATTTATTTATTTATTTATTTATTTATTTATTTATTTATTTATTCATTAATTCATAAGAGACACACACACACACACAGAGAGAGAGAGAGAGAGAGAGAGAGGCACAGACGCAGGCAGAGGGAGAAGCAGGCTCCACGCAGGGAGCCCGACGCGGGACTCGATTGATCCCGGGACTCGAGGATCACATCCTGGACTGAAGGCAGCGTTAAACCGCAGAGCCACCCGGGCTGCCCAAGGCAGGTATGTTTTCTTGAGGGTTACTAGCACAGTAGAGGAAGGATGCAAGGCTCACCTGTAGGGGCTTGGCATTCAACTGAGAAGCCAAGAGACACAGGAGCATGTGGAGGACAGTGTGAGGAGGAGGGTGTAAGTGATAAGGCTGAGAAAAAACAAGATTGGTTCCAGGTATAGCAGCCTGAAGAAAATTGCTAAGAACTCCCAGAGCATTATAACATGCAGTTTGCAGCAGAATCTCACTTCTACCCTGGTGTCCTTCTGAGGCTGCCTCAGTAGCCAGAGTGGGAAGTACGGCTGTGGGCTTCCTGTGGAAGAGCAGAGGTTACAAAACACTAATTCTGTACATACAGTGGCTTGTATTGTTTGCCTGTTGCCATGGATCTTATGAATCTCACCCAAACATTAATGAAAAGCATAGAAGGGGCAGCCCAGGTGGCTCAGCGGTTTAGCGCTGCCTTCAGCCCAGGGCGTGATCCTGGAGACCCGGGATCGAGCACCACGTCAGGCTCCCTGCGTGGAGCCTGCTTCTCCCTCTGCCCGTGTCTCTGCCTCTCTCTCTGTCTCTCATGAATAAATAAATAAAACCTTTTTTTTAAAAAAAAAAAAGAAAAGCATAGAGGGGAAGAAGTTAAGGAAGGAAACAAAAAATAAGGAAGGAAAAAAGGAAAAGGATTGAGGGAATTATGAGGGAAAAGAGAAAGGAAGGAATGAACAGAATATGCATAGTATGGGTTGTTTCTCATTCAGTACCTGATTTAATCCTCACAACCATTGGGTCAAGGTGGGTATTATCCCACTTTGCCGATGTGGTCATAGAGGCTCATAAAAGTTAAGGAACTCACCCATGATCTCAATCAGGTAAATGATAGAGCTGAGATTCAAATCTGTTTCTGTCTGATTCCATGTGCAGTACCTAGAACACTCCTCCATAATCCTTCTTGATAAATTATGAACTTCTGGCATTCCAGATATGAGTGTGCACAAAAGCCAGGAGGCAAGAGAGAACAAGTGAAATGTTGGAACTGAAAGGAATTCATCATGGCTGAAGCACAATGAGTGAGAAGGGAAATCACGAGAAATGTGTCTTAAGATGAAGGCAGAAGCCAGACTAAATACTTAAACCAGATTAAAGTATTTAAAAATTATTCTGAAGTCATAGGGTACCTTTCAAGTAAGTGAAAGAAGTTAAGCATTGTGAGTGTGCCAGTCCAAGGAATCGATAATAGTGGTCAGAAGGACAGAAGAAGGATAGTAGCTGCACAGGTGAGAAGACAAGACAGATTTGACTGTATTAGAAAAAAAGGGGCTGAAGTGATGGGACATAAAGTCTAATATGGGTGAGAACCTGCAAGTGCTGAAGAGGACAGGATGGTATAGAGAAGAGCGTAAGCAACAAGGGAACGGGGCTTTGCACATAAATGCCAGTGGTAGTATCAAAGGCCACCTACTGGATGTGCTTGGGCCACCAAAAGAATCCATTTGCCTCCTACTCCCAAAACCACCACAAATAAATATTCAGGTTAACAAGTCTTCTTGTAATGTAAATATAACTTTAAGACAAGTCCTTCCTAGGCATTCCTTATTTCTTTTTTTTTTTTTAAGATTTTATTTCTTTATTCATGAGATACAGAGAGACAGAGAGAGGCAGAGACACAGGCAGAGGGAGATGCAGGCTCCATGCAGGGATCCTGACATGGGACTCGATCCCAGGTCTCCAGGATCATGCCCTGGGCTGAAGGCAGCGCTAAACCACTGAGCGACCTGGGCTGCCTGGCATTCCTCATTTCTAACCAGATTGCTACCCTAAGCCTTACTATTTTGAAATGTGGGGGCTACCCATTATGAGACAAAGAAATAATGGCCTGGAAGATGCATTGAGAGTGAAAAATAATCTCTTCCTGATATTTCTGTAAGAGGAATAAGAGAATGAGCAGCTCTGGAGAGGGAAATGGAGAGAATAATGGCCTCCATATCAGTGGTCTTACTTCATTGTTTTATGTAGCAAATATTTGTTCAGTATCATGCACCAATCATTGTTTGATTAAGAGAAGAGGTAAAGGAATCAGTTGACTAAAAGCCAGAGAACCCAACTGAGATTATTAACCATGAAGCTGAGTTTCAGAGGAAAAACTGGAAAGTTCTGGATAGAGAAGGGAACAATGGAAAACCAAGACCAGACCAGTGCAGACACGAGGGTATAGGTGATGGTCTACATTTGTGATGTGATTGAACATGCAAGAATGTGAGGCTGTGGGATTAACTAGTCTTGGGGTTCCAGATCTGCATTCAACAAGAATGCCAGTTGAAAGTGGCCTTGAAGTCTCTTACCAGTAGTCAGTGATACTGGTTACAGGCTCTGGCTCACTGAGCTGAGCGCAAGGTGAGCATGTCTTCATACGCTAGTGATTCCTACAGTGATAGACCCCTCGGGTTATGATGCTTCTGTTCTCAACTCTTCATTTACTAGTATATCCGATCAGGGTCCATGCTTTAAATTCAATCACTCCAGTTTTCTCCAATTCTAGCCAAGTTTAGCAACTTGACTCTGAGAGCCTGCCATCTCCACCAAATTTGATTATGTGCTAACAAGAGAATTCATCTAAGGCCTGCAGCTGTCCCAGCTCCTCTCCTGAGTGGGTCGGATGCCTAACCTGATTTACAGACAGAGTGAAGGTAATGGGCCCTGGGGTAATCATTCAAGGAAGCTGAGATGCTGCTCAGGGCTTAGATTTTCTAGACCCTGCTAAGAATATAAATAAAAATCTATTTGAGAAGAGCTCAGTAGGCCAAATTCATGAGGACTTTCAAGTAACACAAAGAAGAGAGGAAAATAAAGCTGGGACTAAGTAGGAAAAATGTGTCTCTCATTTGTAATGCACTTCTGGTTTTTCTCTTATTTTGCTTATCATGTTTTTACTATGTCTCAGGCATCCTGTTAAATGTTTTATATGCATTATCACTTAAACTTTACAATAACCCCATGAACCAGGGGTTATTAACATCCGTTTTACATGGACAAGAAAACTGAAGCGCAGAGAGGTAAAAAAATTCCCTGAAGTGGCAGGTTTAGTAACCCACAAAGCTTGTATTAGATGCACGCTAGTATAACTCCAAAGTCTGTTGCTCATAACCCTGTGGTACCATGCCACTCTCCTTTTTCCCCTTGTCATCCAGCTCACAGTCTTAGTTCTATTTCCAGAAAAATCTGCTCTCTTGCAAAAGACTCTTGAAATAACTCCCTATCCTTATATTTTGGTTTGGCCCACAAGGCTTCCTGAGATTGCCCTGTGATCTAGTATCATCAGCTATTTCTTCCTCCTTGAACCCTGTATTTTATTCATACTGAGCTACTCACAATTCCGTAACAGAATTTTATGCCTTTCCTCCTGTACCTCTATGGAATCTCTCTGTATTTGATATTTTTTTCCACTTAGACTGCCTTCTTTGCCATCTTACCTACTTGGTGAACTTCTACTGGCATAAAGTAGATTGTCAATAAAAGCTAAAATGTTTTTAAGTGAACTAATTAGTTAATGGACAAAAGAAGGTATAAATAAATGTTTATCCTTGAATGTACTTCTTCTCTGAATCCTTCTCTGTCCATTCAGCTTTCATTAATTTTTCTCTACTTTGACATAATAATATCAAAATAAG